AGCACAACTCCATCTCAAAAAAAAAAAAAAAAAGCTTCGAAAGGCATCTCTCCTGAAAGCTTCTCCAAAAAGCCAAGATGACAGACCTCAATCGTTTTAAAGTTATGAAGGCAAAGAAAAGGAGGAACAGAATCATCAAGAGCAAAGTCAAGAAGCTTCAAAAGGCAGCTCTCCTGAAAGCTTTTCCTAAAAAAACACTTGCTGCTAAGGGGTACAGCTGCTGCTGAAGTCCCAGTGAAAAAGATGACCGCTGCGGGTAAGAAGGCTCCAGTCCAGAAGGTTCCTCCCAAGAAAGCCACAGGCCAGAAGGCAGCACCTGCTCCAAATCTCAGAGGAGTCAAAAAGCTCCAGCTCCTAAAATAGAAGAAACACCTGCCAAGTAGAGTGAGAAGATGATTATATCCACAGAGACACCAGCTCCAAAAGCTCAGAAGGGTCAAAAAGTTCCAGCTCTGGCCAGGTGCATTGGCTCACACCTGTCATCCCAGCACTTTGGGAGGCCGAGATGACTGGATCACGAGGTCAGGAGTTCAAGACCAGCCTGGCCAACATGGTGAAACCCCATCTCTACTAAAAATACAAAATTAGCCAGGTGTGGTGGCAGGTGCCTGTAATCCCAGCTACTCGGGAGGCTGAGGCAGGAGGATCACTTGAACCCGGGAGGCAGAGGTTGCAGTGAGCCGAGATCATGCCATTACACTCCAGCCTGGACGACAGAGCGAGACTCCATCTCAAAAAAACAAAACAACAACACAAAAGGGTCCAGCCCTACAATAGAAGAAACACCTGCCACAGAGGCTCCTGCTCCAAAGATACTGGACAAGAAAGCATAAGAGGCAATTATAAAAAGTAATAAAGGTTCTTTTTGACATGCTGGCAAATCTAAAAAATAATAATAATAAAAATAATAATATATTAGGAAAACATACGACAGTTTTATGACCTGCTTTTTCTTCTTTTGGAACTATATTAAAAATATGTTTGTGTGTCAAAAAAGAAAACCAGAGAATGTGCTTCAAAAATGAGAAACATTCCTTATAACCCTAGAGGTGTGAGTGAAGCTACTGGCACTCAACCGCTATGCAAGGGCTGAATTGTGAGGTGGGAGAGACTCCTGTTTTGTCTTTATAAAAAGGATTGACTGGGTGAGGTGGCTCACACCTGTGATCCCAGCACTTTGGGAGGCAGAGGTGGGCAGATCGCCTGAGGTCAGGAGTTTGAGACCAGCCTGGTCAACATGGTGAAACCCCGTCTCTACGAAAAATACAAAAATTAGCAGTGTGTGGTGGTGGGCACCTGTGGTCCCAGCTACTCGGGAGGCTGAGGCGAGAGAATCGCTTGAGCCCACAAGGCGGAGGTTGTAGTGAGCCGAGATTGCGTCATTTCACTCCAGGCTGGGTGACAGAGCGACATTCCATCTCAGAAAAAAAAAAAAAAAGCTCAGGCCATTTTTCCCTCCTTAAGCTCAGGTAGAGCTCAGTAAGTTACCCTATCTGTATGTACACGCATCCGTCTACTTATAAAATGTTGCCATTGCGTTCATCAAACCGTTATTGGATTTCTCTTGATTTTTATTTTTAGACAACAGGGTCTTTCTCTGTCCCCCAGGCTGGAGTGCAGAGACTCAGTCACAATTCACTGCAGCCTTGACCTCCTGGGCTCCGGCCCTCCTCCCGCCTCAACCTCCCGGGTAGCTCAGATTACAGGCTCATGCCGTCATGCCCACCTAATTTTTCAAAGTTTTTGTGGAGATGGGGTCTTGCTATGTTGGCCGGGCTGTTCTCAAAGTCCTGGGGTCATGCGATCCTTGTGCCTTGCCTTGGCTTCCCAAAGTGCTGGGACTGCAGGCATGAACCACTGCGACCTGCCACTTCTACCTGTCTTTACCTGCACCTGTTTCTTAAGATATTGTGTTTATTGCAGACTTGTGACAATCTTCTTGATTTTTCAAAATCATTGCAATAAATTCTTACTTGTCTCACTAAAAAAAAAAAAAAGAATTAAGCAGCAGATACATATATGCAGGAAATCAAATCATATGGTTCCCATGAGCTCTTCTAGAATAAATATTAGAAGAATTTAAGCCAATAAATAGTTGAGAAGAAATTGTGACAAAAGAATAGTAAGTTCTTTAGCACTGGATCCCTTAAGTATAGGATTGGGGTTAAACCAGCACATGGTTATAAAGCAGAAGGCAAATATTGTTTAAAATTACAAACTGTGCAGACCTGTAAATATAGTTATAACTATTAAAAGATGGGAGTGATGGTCAGCTATGAGAAGCAATAAAAATATGATGATATAATACTGTTTAAAGAAGGGCTTCAAAAGGTATTTCTTGAAACTGGTAAATCAGTTAACAGACGTATCCATAGTTTAAAAAAGAAGGCACTTGAAAAACTAATGATAAAGACAGCATAAAAATTGTTGATGGAAAAAAGAGGCAAAGTGGCAAAAAGTGAAAATACACCAATTTCATTCTTGCTTACAGTGGGTAATAAATAGATGCTGCCCAATACATAGAGTATTAAGTATATTATAAAAGCTAGTTATGATATTACCACTAAATGCCTTAAAACAAGACTTTTCAAATTACAATAATGAACATAACTAAAATAAGGAGAAATTTTTAAAAACATAAACAGAAATTATAATAATATAAATGCAGCATTGTTTTATAATAGCAAAAGACTGAGAAAGGTCGATCCATGGGGGAATAGTTAAATCAATTGTGATAAAGAGGAACACAATGCAGTCATTTTTAAAAATAAGACCAGTCTCTACAGTGAAGTGGAATGATATCTAAGGTTTATTAAGAAGAAAAAGAGAGGTCAGGACAGTTTGTGTAGCAAATTAAGAAAAGTAAAAAAGGTTGGGTATGGTGGCTCATGCCTGTAATCCCAAAACTTTAGGACGCCGAACTGGGTGAATCATCTGAGGTCAGGAGTTTGAGACGAGCCTGGCAAACATAGTAAAACCCTGTCTCTACTAAAAGATACAAAAATTAGCCGGGTGTGGTGGCACATACCTATAGTCCCAGCTACTCAGGAGGCCGAGGCAGTAGAATTGCTTGAACCCGGGAGGCGGAGAT